CCTGCTTAGCTCACCACTTCTTTCCTTCTTTTTTCTCCATTTTGTTGCTCTAGGCTAGGCTGCAGGGAGATCAGTGAATGCAGTCAGCTATGGCCACGCAAGGAGTTGAGGTGACGTGGCCGTGCAAAATGACAAGGATGTATGGCAACATGCGGTCAGTCAATTTAAGACCTGTTTTGATCCTGAAGGTTAAAATGAATTAGTGTGGTTTAATTAAAAGGAACTATTCTGGATGGTTTTTCATTGTCATCCATTGGATTAACAAAGAGGAATTTAAATTTCTTATATGAATTATTTGAGAGTACCGCTTGTTTTTATAGCATATTTATCTTGCTTTCAGAGGTAGTGTCAAAACAGGAAACTGATACTAGTTAGATTGAATAGTTTAGAAGAATTATTTCAACTGTTTGCATGGACAGCTGAACACTAAGCTTATATAGTAACCTTAAGTTGAAATTTTAATATTAATCTAATGTTATGATTCAACAAAAGAAGCGTGTCACTTGATAGAACTGAAATAATCTGTTTCTACCTCAGTTTTCTACCTTAAACCCTCTTCAGACACTGCCTTTGCTGTTGTGGTCAAATCATTTTATGTTCTTTTAAAAATGCTGTAAAGCTTCTCAGAACTTACTGGAAAGTATTCTTTTTAGTTTTATAACTATTATGTAGGCTTTTAAAAAATGAACATATTGAATTGCCTATCAGGAATCAGTCCTAAAGCTATGTAAACTGTTAGGATAAGTTTTAAATAATTACTATAGAAACCTATTGATTTCATTGTTGCTAGTTTTCTTAAGACAGCTTTGCATATTATCATTGCAGAGAAGCAAATTTAAAAATATACAGAATAAATTAGTTCTTTTGCATGCGCAGCCTTGTGGAGATTAGCTTTCCTGCTTGTAAGCTGAATGTGCTATACCTGAAAGAGGTGGGAATGTGTTAATAGAGGTGAGTGAGGGCTAGAGGGCTGAAGTGGGGAAGTAAGCAATCTTGCCACATATATAGGGAATGTGTGTGTGAGAATAGCCTGATATCGTAGGGTCTACTGTGCATCTCAGATGACTAAAACACAACTATAATTGTGCTTTATATTTTCCTGCAGAACCCATATAATTAAGGGCATTCCCTCCTGTTTCTAGAGAAAGAATTCCCCTAGAAACTCCTTGAAAATTTAATTTTAGAAACCAGCAAAGAAAGTAAATTATACCGTAAAAGTAACTCTTTTAACATATATGCATAATAAATATTTTCTTTTTTTTTTTGAGTAAATGTTTATGTAGCAACTTGTCTGCTATCCATAAACTGTTTTAAAATCTTCAAAACATGATGTAGAACAGAAAGCATTGTTCTGTATCTTATTACTTGGATTGTAGGAGCATGCAGAGTTGATCAAGGCTAAGGCTGCTTGAGCAAGTGTCATAAGTGTGCAGAAACACACTGCGAATTCAAAAAGCCTGAAAACGTGGATCTTCTTATATTAGGCAGAACTGTCATATGGAGATCACTGCGGCATTAGGATGCTCAGGTCATGCTCTGCAAAAACTTATGCATGTTGAATAACTTTGTTCACATGCACAATTCGATTAAGTCTGTAAAATGCTTCTTACCGTATTCTTGTTGCAAAGAGTACGCTACCATTTACAGAAGCTGGAAAAAAACCCAGTTCCTCTGAGAATCAGTTTAATTTTTTTAATGTAAATTGCAATATTTCTTAAACTTACTTCCAGGTCAGATCAGCAGTGAAATGTGCAGCAGTAAGACAGCAAATGGTAGACGTGGTATTCACTAAAATACAAATGTGATCAACTCAAATTCATTAAGGAGTGGTATGTTGAGTAGTTTAGCTGGAAATATTTTCTTGTGTGGAGGGTCTAGACTCATCAATGGCAATGATGTTTTCTCCCCTTCTGCCCAGAAGTGAGATTAAATTTGAGATGGGTTCACTTTCCTGCTTTGAAGAGATTTTAACCCTAGAAATGAGATGTCCTTCACATAGCAGATTGTCCCAAACAAGAAGTTAACAGCATCTTATTGCTCCCAGTATCCAAGTATTTTGTATGCAGTAGGATGGTCCTACCAGAGAGACAGAAGTGGGCAGCTCTCTGAGAAACCTGTGTGCACAGGGAGAAGGCAGAGAGGCATATGGTGCAGTACTGGTCATGGGAAATTCCAGTTCAGATCCTAGTTTCAAATTGAACACAAGAGTGGGTTTGACCAGTTTTCAAAGCTAAAGTTTAAAAATGGTCCTGGTGGTTCCTGTCTCTGTGTTGTTTGTATTTACTGAGAATATATCAGTATTTATCAGCCTTGTGCTCTGCTGAAGGTGCATTTGAGGTGAGTGTCCTAAGCACAAGGTAATCAAACTGAAACATGGATGACTGGCAGAGACTAAAATTAGAACTTTTTGTTTTCCTTTTCTTTTATTCCTGTTATTACAAGAGCCCTGAAACCATGTTGCATTTATGTCACTGCATGTCTGAAAAAAAACATGTTCACCTATCACCTCTGTGCTTTTGAAGTCCCTCCCACAGACTGTGAAGTCTGTAAGTCCCAGCCTGCTCCATTCTAATAACTTTAACTTCAAAGAAGGCAGATCAAGTTCAATTTTTTTTGAGATTATTTTCAATTCTCTATTTATTCCAAGCTTTACATTCCCTCTGTGAAACTCTTTCAGACGTTCTTGTTTTGGCTAATCTATATAGTACATATGTGCAGCGCGTTGGAAAACCTGTCTGTATGTCTGACAGAAGCTTACAGTTTCCCAGCAAGTTAGGGGACTTCTGGATCAATCCGTTCCGAGAAGATGGCACCCTCAGAGCTGGTGAGAGTCGTACTAGCTTTGATTCAACCCCAAGCCCCTCGCCAGACCCACTTTCAAACTCCAGAGCTATCACAACAATTGCAGGCACGTAAACCCCCAAGATTTAGGAAGTATTTATCTTACATGCCTCTCACATTTATTTTGTCTTTAAGTTTTGATTACATTAGGAAAAATGCAGTTCTCTTTGTTCTCAATGATATACAATTAACATGCTAAAGGCTATAATTAACACAGAGATTTTAGCTTAGCCCATGTTCTAGGCAAAACCATCATTACTTTTTAAAATACGTTAGAACACGTTTGCTTAAATATTGCTTGATATAAGGCCTCAAACTTACAAACACTCCAGGAATTCCCAGGGAAATTTATAATACACCTTAGCAGTAACTAAGGCTCAGTTCTAAGTATTTTGTCATGTGTGTAATCTTACTGAAGGCAATAGAAGTTTCCACAGTAAAGATTTTAGATGACCTTCTCAATATATAGAACGCCTTGGGGAGAAAAGATAGCACAAAATAGTTCAAAATAATTCATAGAGGATTTTCCTGTCTCCTAGTTGGAGCAGAATGAAAATTAATAAAATGACAAATGAAAATCTGTCAAAGTTCTTTCTTTCTCTGCAACTCCTTGTCACTCAAATGTACGGATGTGTAGTGACCCTAAATGCAGTATGTCACAGAATGCAGGAAATAAAAGAGCATCGGCATGGCAGATACATACAAAGTGTATGTATGATACTTGAGAGATACTTGAGATACTCTTCATACTTGAGAAGTGGAGTAGGAATAAAATGAAAGTAAGCTGAGGCACAGTCATGAA